GATCTGAGGGGTGTAAGGTAGTATCTAATTGTGGGTTTGATTTGCATTTCTCCTGTGACTCATGCATTGAGTTCATGGTTATTGGCTGTCTTTATGACTTGTAGAGAAAAACATCAAGTCATTGCTTATGTTTGAGTTGGCTTGTTTTGGTTTTTGTTGCTGTTGGCAGTGGTGGCTTGTAGGAGTTCTTTGTGTATCCTGGGTATTAGTCCTTTATCAGGTATGCAATTTGCAAATATTTTCTCCTGTCATCCTGATGGGATGACTTAAATTATTTAAAATAAAATGTAAGAAGGATAGTGAAAGAAAAAGAGTTATCAACAACAAAAATGAATTCTGTTTGTCCCTTGAGCTGATGACACCCTGTGCTCTGGGGAAGCCCCAGCTGATGAAAGGGAGTAGCTGGGAACTGGAGACCATGTGTGCTATTTTAAGCCCCAGGAAAAAGCCTACCGATACCTGGGCCAGGGTGTGGGTGTATGGGGAGTGGGGTTTCCCTGAGATCTGTGAAGGGGATATGGTGAGTGAGCTCAAAGGCAGGAAGTCCGCTGTTGGGAAAGCAGTGGGTGCAGCCACCTGCCTCTCGAAGCCTCTTTCACTGTAGGTCAGATTCCAGCCCCTAGAGCCAGGTTCAAAAGAAGGGCTGCCTGTCTGCCCTTTGCGCCCTGTAACTCTGTCACCACCTTAATTTTGTTTCGTGAGATTTTTTTCCCTGAGTCTAAAAATAATTGTGCCGATATCCAACTGACTGAAGTATAAAAGGGAAATATTAGGTCAACCCACTCCTGGGGTTGCAGTAGCAACAGTGGTCATTCATTAAACATGATTGTATCAGAAACTAGTCTTCAAGTTCCCCTTGAGAACCCCAGCCACTCACAGCCCTCCACATGGGTACCCAGCAAGGACCCTGACCTGAGCTCCTTAAGGAAGAGCTAGCTCTAGGGAAGCTGGGCTCACTTCAGATCTGTCTAATTTAGCCTATTCTGCAACCATTAATCTTAGCAACAGTAAGGTGTGCTGTCTATGGTTTCATTTTCTCATAAAATGATCTCGTGGGCGCTACTGCCATAGTTTGTTGTTGTTCTTTTGGTTTTGGTTTTTTGAGACAGGGTTTCTTTGTGTATAGCCCTGACTGTCCTGGAACTCATTCCGTAGACCAGGCTGGCCTCGAACTCATAGAGATCTGACTGCTGCTGCCTCCCGAGTGCTGAGACTAAAGTTGTGTGCCTCCACAGCCAGGCTGCTACTACCATGGTTTCAATGCAGGCAGGCAGGCGTTGTCTAGCCTGATGTGTTTGCACCTGCTCTCTGTCCCCTCTCCCGCCCCGCAACAGGACACCTCGCACAGTCCTCTTACTTCCCATACTTGTCTCAAGAGGGTGGCTCAGCCAGGTTTGGAGTTTCCAGTGCTTTCTAAGGGCCAATAATAAAATGACAAGGGTTCTGTTCATAGCATACACCCCCCCCTTTTCAGCCACCTTCTAAAAATGAATGACAAATGGCTTCCCTAGAGACTGCTAGGAGGGTACCCACCTTTATCACAAGACGAGGCTCTGTGGACATCCCAAACCATCAGTGTCTGCCTCAACTCAGATCTGGTATCCCTACTTGTCACCCCAGACTTGAGATGGGACAGAGGACACTATGATGGTTAACCTCAGTTGCCAACTTAGTGAGATCTAGGGTTGCGTGAAAGATAGACCTCTGGGCACGCATATGGCATACGGCAGGTTAATCGAGATGTGAAAAACTGCCCACTGTGGGTGGCGCCACTCCCTGGGCTTGGACCATATAAGAACTAGAAAGGGAGTTGAGCATCGGCATTGCTGCTCTCTGCTTCCAGACCACAGATGTGACATGGCCTGCTGCTTCAAATTCCTGTTGCTTTGACTTCCACACTGTGATGGACTGTGCCTTAAACTGTGAGCCAGATAAACCCTTCCTTCCTTAAACTGCTTTTGTTGGGGAATGTTATTACAGCCACAGGAAGCAACTGGGACAGATACCTTACTTCCAAGACCAGGCATGAGACACTATTCTTCCCTTACTACACTAATAGTATAAGTTCTATATAAAAAGGTAAACAAAAGCCGGGCGTTGGTGGCGCAAGCCTTTAATCCCAGCACTCGGGAGGCAGAGGCAGGCAGATCTCTGTGAGTTCGAGGCCAGCCTGGTCTCCAGAGCGAGTGCCAGGGTAGGCTCCCAAGCTACACAGAGAAACCCTGTCTTGAAAAACCAAAAAAAAAAAAAAAAAAAAAAAAAAAAGTAAATAAAATAAGATTCCTTTGCAATGCCCCGACTCATGACCACTAATACATACGTTTTGTGATAGTTAAACGTACCCATTTATGTGTTTAAAAATTGAAACTGTATTTTTGGTTGTGAGCCTAGCCTTTAACGGCTGAGCCATCTCTCCAGCCCATATATATAAGCTAATTGAAACTGAAATACGTGATGAATCCAAGGTGTTTCAGTGAGTGCTCACCTGTGCATGCAAATTTGATTTCATCTTTAGTAAGTAGTAAAATTATATGCTTGCCAAAAAAAAAATAAGTGACACACCGGAAGACATATGTCACACAATTTCAATTTTATGTGTAACCTAGAAATGATGAACTTATGGGAACAGAGAGCAGAATTGTGGCTATTAGGCTTCAATGTGGGTCTTTTAACAATGGGGAAACGATTGGTTTAAGGATATAAACCTGCAGCTGGACAAGAGGCATGGACTCTGTGAAGTCTTGAGGTCTACTGAGAGCATGATAAATATGGTTGATAACAATATGCTATATTTTAAAAGTTGTGAGATAGTATACTTTAAGTGTTCTCAAAACAAAAATGATGAATATGTGTGATATAACGTTAATTGGTTTAATTTAGCCATGCCATTGTAAACATACTGTATTCTGTATCATGATTGTGCATGACTTTATTTATTAACTAAATAAGTGAATGGAAAAAAAGAAAAAAAAAAGAACTAAAACCACTGGGGGGAAAATTGAAACTATATCATGAGTGTCATTTTTTTTTTTTACTTGCTCCTTTCTCTTAGCAATGTTACTGACTTCATTGTAGCTACTGTCTGTGTCCCCTTGGCCAAATTAAACTCTGTGTGCCTCAGTTTCTTCAGACTGACAATGAAGATGCTGTAAAGTTGAAGTTACTGTGTGTGAAACATTCAGACCTGGGCCTGGTATTTGTATTTTCCATTTGGTTTTGATTTTTATCCTTATTCATTGTCTTAGCTGATTTTCTATTACTGTGGAGAGACATCATGACCAAGGCAACTTAGAAAAGAAAACATTTAACTGGGGCCTGGGTACAGTTCCAGAGGGTTAGTCCGTTAACATCGTAGGTGGAGCATACCGGCAGGTAAGCAAGCAAGCGTGGAGTGGTAGCTAAGAGCTTACCTCCGATCCAGAAGTTCTTGGAAGAAAGAGAAAGAACATGACTGGGCCTGGTATGGACTTTTGAATTCTCAAAGCCCACTCCCAGTGACACACCTCCTCCAACAAGGCCACACCCCCTAATTCTTCCTTAAACAGTTCCACTAAGCATACAAAGCATACAATCCTGTGGGAGCTGTTCTTATCCAAACCATCTCACTCTCCATTCGTTTTGTTTTATCTTCATTTTGTTTTTAGATAGGGTCTCAAATTGCTAGCCCAGGCTAGCTTAGAACTCATGGTGTAGCCCAACCTGGCCTTGAACACAAAGCAATCCTCCTGCCTCAGCCTCCTGTGTGCTAGGTTACTGGTTTGAGCCATCATAGCCAACTGGAAACACTCTATACGCAGACCTCTGCCAAACACACCCGCACTTCTGGTTCTCAGCCAGGTCATTTGTGGGGACAGAGCCATGTGCGGGGACAGTTTTAGTTGTTCAGAAGGTGAGTAGGCTGCTATTGGCATCTAGCTGACCGAGTTACTTAGGCTGCTAAATATCCTACAAGGCACAGGTGGGCCCCACAAACCCCAGTGTGGAGACAGAGTGAACCTGGTGGACCTGTGTCTCCTTAGCCAGCTCCTTGGGTCCATATTTGGACTGAGTGTTCTCACACTGTACTGCACTGTGAGAGACACACCAGTGGAGATCTTAGGCAAGACCGAGCCATGGTCCTGGACAGAGAACTCTGCCACAGCAGGGCGCCTAACAGCTCAAGGTGCACAGTGGATAGGAGGAGTGGAATACACATATGACTGTCCCTATATCTGACTCCAGACAGTGGGGCAGGAAGGAGTCTAAGAGTCATGGGCTTCGAGGCATCTTCTACCTCCTGTGACCTTTTAACAACTACAACAAGGCTCCATTGTGTCACTGGTGGTAAAGTTCCCAGTTAACGAGCCTATGTGTTTGCTAGGGAGGGGACTTACTGTCATGCTGGCCCAGAGATGTCTGGGTGAGATTAAAGGGTCTTTTATATCATGACTCTTCGGTGAGCAGAGAGGCCATGGTAGTCTTCCCTGGTTTTGTCTCCAGATCATACACTGAAAACCCCTTGAGACTGATTGCAGACCTAAAGACACAGTTAATGACTAGCTTTGTTTACCGTTCAGTGGAGACCAGGTTATTGTGGAGAGTGTAGAGGGGTTTTCCATTCAGTTCCAGAGAGCACATTCTTGCTGGTGAAGTTGGCACTTACTGCTGGCCTGGGTGGGGGTGGTTATGCCATTCAGACCCCTCCATCACTGTAGCAGCTTGCTGTATGCCTTCTGCAGGACCGTGACCCTACCAACAACATGGGACAGCTTGCTCTCCTGCTATGTGGCAGGCTTCTCTGCAGCAGGCACTGGGACAAAATCAGGAGGACAAAATAAGATAAACGACAGACTCCAGACGTGGAAGCAAATCAGAAAGCAGCCCCCATCCCACACGCTCTGTGGCTAGTTAGAGCCCAGATCTGTCTACACACCCAGAACGGCCAAAGCCCAGAAGTTTGGGGAGAACAGCCTGGCTCCATTCTGTAACCAGTGGCTGCCTCAGGGTACTGACTTGCCTGCTAGTCGAGGGTCCTGATTCTTGCTGTGAGACAGGCCATCGTCTTTTCTTTGGCTTCTATCCTGACTCTGCAGGACTTGCTGTCTCTTTCATGACTGTCCCCAGCGAAGCTGGCTTCTCCAGCATCCCAGATGTGCTGTCTCAGAGAGCTCACCACGTGCTCTGCAGATCAGGTCTCCTAACCATACCCACACTGTGGTCCAGCATCTGAAGGAAGGACTCCCTGAATCTTACCAATGGATTTTCCCCAAGAGGTGGGCAGTCTATGCCAGGCAGTGAGCTGCTGAGGTGCCAACCTCACCACAGGGTTTCCAGGTGTCTGTGAACTTGGTAGAGTTTCCTGCCTTCTCTTTCTAAACAGCGTAGATGGTAGCATCCTTAAGATGCGACTAAGATCTGCTTAACAGTACCTGGCACAAAAGCAAATAATAAATGTTGCTATTAATTTTTTGGTTAATTTTTCTGTTGCTTTTGTTTTATGAGCTGCTGGAAAGCTAGCTGGAGTCCACCTACAGGACACTGAGAGGAAATTTATTTTCTCAGTTTCCCTCAGTGGAACTTGAGCAGAGAAAGGCATTTGGCATCACTTTGTCCAGAAACACAGCAATGGTGATGGACAGGTAGCTTGTTTGCAAAGCAGGACTCTGTGTGCTAAGAAGCGCGGACTGGAACCCGGTAAGTCACAGGAGCACTTCTTGTCCCGGTGTTGACCATCCCTCCCAGCTGAGACTCCTTCTCCCTTTCTTGGCAGGAGTCTGTCCCTTCAGGGATGGGGCTTGGTAGGGATGAAACGGTGGAAGGTGTGAGACAAGCTGTCACACACTTATGTCGTCATGGTCGGTGGAGTTTTCATTCTATCCTTGCTGGTCCCAAGAAGATGAGCAGACCTAGAAGTCAGGTGCAGTTGGCCAAACATGTCTTTGCCTGCCTTGTCATGGCGGTGGCTTCCTGGTTGAGTGTTTAACTCTTCCACTTCCCGAGGCTACGAAGACATACAGCTCTGCCTCATCTGTGGACAGCAGGAGCCATGTTCTGTGTCTCTGCCAGGGAGCCTCCTCATTCTCCCCTTCCTCCCTGCACCCTCCCCCTCCTCTCTTCCTCCCAGAATTCCTCATTTCCTCTCCCCTTCCTCCCTGCACCCTCCCCCTCCTCTCTTCCTCCCAGAATTCCTCATTTCCTCTCCCCTTCCTCCCTGCACCCTCCCCCTCCTCTCTTCCTCCCAGACGTCCTCATTTCCTCTCCCCTTCCTCCCAGGATCTGAAACACATGATGCTATTATTCTAACCTTCCCCAGGTTTATAACAAGGGAGCTGAGGAGTGCTTTGAGACTCTCAGGTGATGACCTCGGTGTAGGGACACAACTGTGCTGAAAGCTGCTGTCTGGCAGTGGAGGGCGGAAACGTCACCAGCGATTTTATCTCTTTAAAAAAAAATTACAAGTGCAACCCAAGGGCTTTGTGCTGCCAGGCAGCTGGCAGCTCTTTCAGCTCTGAGAAGGTGGTTGACTTGGGGAAAGGCGCTTACAGGGGAAAACAGACTCCCCCAGGTGGGGATATTACCCATGATGAATGGGGAATTAACCAAAGGACAATCTGAGTTCTGGGTCAGGAAATCCTGCCCTTGAGGTAGATAGTGAGACAGTGCCTGATGCTGGAAGGGCTCAGTTTGCCCATCTGCTTATTGGGCACACACTTGACACCCTACCCTCACTCACATTACTGGGAGCACTTACTCCTCCCACTTATGCTGCCTTGACACACACATGATTCCTCCATGGCTAACATAAAGCACCACCATCAGTTTGCCACACTTATGCCAACACTCCTCTTGAGTGGGGCTGGTGATACAGCCCAGTCAGAGGAATGCTTGCCTAGCACGCAGGAAGTCCTGGATTTCAGCCCGACCACTAAGTAAATTGGGCATGGCGGTGTGTACCTGTAATCTCTGCACTCCGCAAGTGACCCTGGTGATGTTTTGAATTCCCGCTAATTGGCAGGGCTTTGATTTTAGCCATCAAGTGCCTTGCCAGTCATCCCTCACTCCTACCCGCCTCATTCAGAGGGGCATGGCACCTCTGAATAGAAGTTCCCTGCCTGGTTGGGCCTACCTCCCACCTGCTTCGTTCAGGCCTTACGAGGATTGGGAAGCTGACGATCAGTCTGTGAAGGGGAGGAGAAAGCTGGGCGCTCAGAAGATGTAAACGGGAGGAATTGTCTCTGTCTGCAGCATGCCCGGCATAAGTGCACTTTCTCTCTTCCTAGATTTGCTGTGGTGGTAACCAACATGGCTCCCAGCTCCAGGCTTCCACCCTGAACTGAAGGGGGATGCGCATAGAGCCAGTGCCTTTGGTCTTAAGCTCCAGAAGTGGGTCGCCTGGCCATCCGGGCCAATTTAAGAGCAGATCAATCCCTATGCTGTGCCTGGAGCTGGAGTTTGGGGAGGGGCACAATTCTCCTAGAGGAAATAAAATCACCCACTCTCAGCAACTTGCAGATGAGAAAATGGAGACTCACATACATTGTGTGGCTTTCCTGAATCACCCAGCTGCTTTGAAACACAGGACAGGGACAGACAGGGCTACATCAAAATCTTCACGGGACTCTCTCCAGGCTTCTGGAAGCTTCTGAAGGTCGTTCAGGCAAGGAGAAAGAAAAGTAAGCCACCATGTTTGCTCACACTTCCCCAGGGTTGGAAATTTCCAGGGTGCCAAGTGGAGAGCTGTGTCATCAAGACCTCATGACTGTGCTGTTTGAAAATCAAAGTCATAAAAGGCCAAAGGTCATCCAGATATACTCCACATACCGCTGCTGTTGGGGCTATTTTTAACCTTAAGTCTCTTCTTAGCTCACTCCTTCATGCTCTCCCAGCTGACTGTTGTTCACAGTTACCCTCTCACCCAGGGTGGGGCAGTCACACCTGAGCTGCAAGTAAAATAATGTGGGACCGGTACCTCCTCCAAGGACTGGGTAGGACAATTGCAAGTAATTTTCAGGAAGGCTCCTTGGGGATCTGTGGGCAGGCATGAAGACCATGTGTGTGATCCAAATTGTGGGACAGGCTTCTGGAGGCAGAACTCCACTGGTTATGCATTAAATCGACTCATGGACTGAACTCCTAGTCCTCAGCACCTCAGGATTCAGCCTTGCTTGGAAACAGATGTGGCTGGTAATGCTAATCCACTGTGCCTGGCATCTCTATGAAGAAGAAAGATACCAGGGCACACACTCCGAGTACAAAGACAGAGTGACATAATGCATCTCATTAATATGTGTCAACAGTAGGAACTAACACAAACAAATGTTGGCCAACCAGCAGAAGCAAGATAGGAGTGTCAAACAGTTTCCCTCAGAGCCTCAGGGGGAACCAGCCCTGGTACCATCTTGACCTCAGCCTCCCCGCCTCCAGAGCTCTGAGACAATTCACTTGTGTTGTTCAACCCTTCCAGTCTTGTTTGGTTTTTTGGCAAACTTGTTTTGGCTTACCTGTCATTTTGAAAATCCCAGTGCATCAAGGAAGACTCTCACAATTTGACACTTAACTGTTCCTCTAATTTCGGTATTATTGTGATTGTGGTTTTAGGTGTCTTGAGGGCTAGGCTATGTCTCTTGTTTTCTTTGGTCTGAGAATGCCAGACCTATTTGCTTAGACAACAAGCCTGCATCGGCCTGACCGGACTTGAGGTGTTAATTGATGGCACACGCAGGTTGACTTATCGCAGAAGTACCCTGAGAGGTAACCTCTGGGCAGCAGACTCCCCAGCTCACACTGGGGAGTTATCTCAGAGCCAGAGCAGGAGAGTAGAGTTTCTAGAACTTTCCAGAAAAACAAAACTTCAGAAATTAGGTGAAGAAGGGTTCTCAGCCACAGGTGAAGGAGGGAAGTTCTGAGCTATGATCACTATGGATCCAGTATGTAGTTCCCAGGGTAAGATTTGGGGTTGGCCGGAGACTGAGGGTTACCTTAGAAACCCCTCTTCTCCCTGTCCCTCTCACTTCCCACATGACATTTTCTGGCCCATTTATAACTTGCACCCTGAGAGTGGCTGAGCAGCCTGGGAAGGGTAACGACTCACCAGCATATCCATGGGAAACTCAGCCCAGCTGAGCCCAGCCACTCCTAGTGCGTGACCCCACCCCTTAACGCACTGAGCCTGGCCCAGGAAGAGGAGCGATGAAATGACAAGTCTTGCTGGCACACAGAGCTGCTGCTCCCCCCCCTCCTTCGTACACACCCCTCTCTTTCCATCAGCTCTCTGACTGCGGTGTTCTGCAGGTAGAGTCCAGGGGCGGCAGGTGTTCCCCAAGGCAGTTCTGAGGTTCACACTCAAGAGTCTTCACGGCCCCTCACTAATACCCCGCCCCCATCTGGGTCACCCAGGCTGGCCCCAAACTCACTATATAGCTGAGAATGGCCTTAACCTTCTGCTCTTCCTCCCTCTGCTCACTGAGTGCTGAACACACCATGGGACACTGTGCCTAGTTTATGCGGTTCTGGGGACAAGCCGACTCTGTGCGCGCTAGGCAAGCATTCTTCATCCTGCCTGGCTACATCTCTAACACTCCACGTGCCCACTATCGCAATCGGGTACAGATCTAGGTTTGCACCTGACTCTGGCACCGACTGATTGTGTGGCCTTTGAGAAGTTACTTAACCCTCTCTGAGCCTCAAATTCCTTGGGTATAAAAGAAGGCCAGCCATAAACACTTACCCCATCCTGTTCCGACGAAGTTTAAACGAGACGGCTTACGTTGGCGCCATGCTTGGCATAGCGAGTGGCTCTTTCAAGCACACATACCGTTGTTCTGTGATGGCGAGTGATGAATATCCTGTGCTTGTACAGAGTGGCAGAACGCCTATTCGGAAGCCATGGTGCACATTCCAATCTATTGCAGAGTTAGGAGTTATGACATCAATTTTACCTGCTTTATTGAAATTTCGCAGCCTGTGACTTTTGGCTGAGGAATTTGCACTGATCCCAGGCGACAGATTCATCCTCCAAATATGCGCTGAGAACCTGCTCAGAGGTGACGTGTTCTTGGCAATTCTTAGAGCAGAGCTGGAGGTTGTGAAGGAGGGGCAGTGACTGGCAGCCGCCCAGACTCACGAAGTTTCCTTTTACGCTTTCCCCTAGGGAATGGCAGATTCTTCACCTGCCTCTACACACTGGGCCGAGCATCGCCTCAGGGAACGTCCAAGTTGCTGAGGCAGCAGAGGCCTGTGCCAAGCAGTTGGACCAGCCTTGGAGCTGGGATCCCAACTTTCTTCCCCCTAACTCTGTGACCATAGGAAAGCCAATTATTCCCGTGGAAACTCGGTTCCCTTTGTTAAATAGCAACACCTAGGTCAAACTTTCTAGGCTGCTTTCAATTCTATAGCTGCCTCTTAGTAACTTTTTTCCATTCATTCATCCATTCGTTTACTCCTCTTAACCACCCAGCATCGTTTGGACGACTATCTCTTAGGAGCTGTAGAGGAGTTGAGGGGATAAGGGCACACTGAGAAATGCTGGCGCTAGGACCCCAGAATCCAACAGTGAAAACCCCTCAGTTTCCCTGGCACCCTCCATGTATGCGCTGATGTGAGTTGGCTGTCAGAAGCCATTGGACAAGTTCCTGGCAGGGCTGACCCCTCTCGGTCCAACCCAGATGACAAGTGGCTCCTAGGGTCTAGGCAACATGGAGCCAAGCCCCTGGGCAGGTACCCAGGGTAGACATTCCCTGCCTTGGACCACAGCCAATGGGGACGGGGGCTTCTACCTCAGCTCATGGCCCTGTGTTTCCTGTCTCTCAGCAGGTTTGGGTTCTCAAAGAGGGCTGGGCGGGCTTCCGGGCAAACTCTCCATTTAGACAGGAAGTAGGTGGGAGAGCTCCCAGGCACATCCCACCCGTCCCTTTGGAATAGCATGACTTTATACCAGTCTCCCCCGCAGATCTCGGCTCAGCACTTTTGGGATGGAAGTAGAACAAGTGACCACTCCTAGCTCGGAACCCCGGGGAAAAAGGGAGAAGTGTCTCATAACTGACCTAGGTCAAAGGTCAGAAAACCTTTTTTTTTCTGGAAATGGCTAAAATGTAAATACATAGTGTTCCTCTCAATGTATGTCACAGCTGCTCACCTCTGCCTCTGTGGGTTGGCAACAGCCATACGTAAACATGTGTTGCTGTGCTCCAAAATAAGTGTTTCTGTACATGCACACACTTGAATGTCTGGTAGTTCCATGCATCCCAAAACATTATCTTAACTTTCTTCAAAAATGGTAAAAATCTATTTCCTGGGGCTAGAGACAGCACAGCGGTTAAGAGTGCTGGCTGCTCTTCTGGAGGGCTGAGTTTTATCCCAGCACCCATCCGGTGGCTCACAACCTTCCGTAACTCCAGTTCCAGGAATCTGGTGTCCTCCACAGAGCTCTGAGAACACGGTGCGTGTACACATATTTGAGCAAAAACAGTCATACCCATTCTTTAAAAATCTAAATTTGTAAAAATCTGTTTTCAGGGTCTGAGGCATAGCTCAGCTGGGAGTGCTGTCCTGGCACCCACAAGGACCTGAGTTTCACCCACAGAATCACATGAGCCGGTGTGATGACACAGCACACAATCCTCAGATACACAGGAATTTGAGGCCAACCCGGGTTTTTTTTTGTTTGTTTGTTTTTTTTTGTTTGTTTGTTTTTTGGTTTTTTTTTTTTTTGGCTGGCTTTTGGGTGTGGAGAGGTGTACAAAAGGAGGGCTGGGTTGTGCGTGAGTGGATCAGGCTTCGTTCCACGACTTAGGACATGAATTCTCCCCAGCTTCTGTTTTTCATTCTTCTAGCAAGACTCTCCATCCAAAGCTCACCTTTTCCCCGGGGTCCTGGCTCTTCTTTCTCTCACACCGCCCACTGCATAACCTCGACTCAACTATGCCAGGGCTCTAGCTGGAGAGTCAGGCATCCCCCACCCACACAGCACTTTAGAAATACATTGCTCCCCATTCCCGAGAAGAACCCCAAAAGTTTCCCTGTACATCCTGTTCTCCTTGTCACTTTCAATCTGGGTAATTAAACTCAACACCTCGAAGGTGATTAAAAATTAATTTGGCGTTCAACAGGCCCGGAAATGAAATTTGGAGGAAGCACACTTGGAGAGAGCCTGGCTAGAAGTAATTAGAAAATTGTCCTGCTAGGCAAGAGGAATAACTAAGTCGTTACCACAGACATGGAGGGAACAGTAGAGAGGCAGATGGTGAGCGCTGAGGTTACATGGTCACAGTTCACTTCCCAGACCTCCGTCACTTACTGTTTGTGGCTGCTCCTAACAGTGGTATTGTAAAAGCTGGGGGTTGACAATAAGGAGCTGTATGCCTGAGCTGGTGAGAATTCATCTGCCCAAGCCTGTGTGCCTCCCCACTCTGCTCTCGGTGTGGTTTCTGGCTGCCCTCCCCCACCCCCTTACACAGATCTCCTCTGCCCCCTTTGGGACTGGCACCACTCCAGCATTCCCTCACCTTTGCCACGTGTCCTGTGTAGCCAGCTCATCCTTTCTGAGGACTGTAGCCACTGCCCTCCAAGGATGGTTCTCGATGTAGCCCCCACCCTACCCTGGGTGTTCTTTCCTGTTCCTTGTCTCCCAGGCAACAGTCCTGCTGCTTGAGATGCCAGCCTGGAAGCTGATATTCCAGGATGCTGCAAAAGGGCACTTCCTTTTCCCATCTCGGAAGCCACCAGGGGCCTTCACACCTCCAAACCATCCAACTTTCCCATCTGGTGTCTTTGAACACTGTGAGCAGCAGGAAATATCCAGTTAACCCTCGAGGGTCAGAACATCTTTTCAGTGGCACTCAGGAGTCTATTGGGGAAACTGTTTCCCTCAAGAAGATCCCTGAATCCACTGCAAACTGCTTTGAGTAAGAAGATGCCACTCCTGGGTCTCTCTATGGCCTCCTTAAAAGACCTTGTTGTCATTTGCTAAGTGTGGCTACTGAATTTAAATTTAAATTGAATATATATTGAAAAATCTCCATCCCTTGGCCATATATGTGGCCAGGGGCAATTATACTAAGGAACAGAGGTAAAGCACATCTTCTTACTGGGAAGTTCTACAGGATGGCTCTGCTAGAAGGTTAGTTTTAAGAGCCTGGGCTTGAAAGTCTGGCAGATAGTCTGTGGCCCTGGGCAACTCACTTGACTTCCTGAAGCCTCCCTGGTTTCTCCATTTGTAACTGTAGCTATCTCAGTGAGCCATAAAGAACAGAGAAGGTGATCCAGGCACGTACTCTCTCTGCACAGTGTCAGATAAAGACCTGGTAAGAGCATCTCTTGACCCTGAGAGGGTGGGCTACAGCATGGCGACACAGAAAGACAGGATGAAGGAGACAGACTCCACCCCTCTCCGCCCATGCCTGAAGGCTGTAACCTAAACAGTCCTACTTCCAAAAAAAAAAAAACACTGGGATTAAAGTGTGGGTCCCTATCACCCAGTGGAGACCTTGTGAAAAACGATAGGAAGAGTCAAAGATTTCCCTAAGAGAGTAGGCATTATCACAGAATCTTCCATTTCAAAAAAAAAAAAAAAAAAAAAAAAAAAAAATCCAGATGAGATGAACTGGAAAAAAAATGCTAGAATAGATCCCACCTCACCCCCCAACTCCTGAGTTCCAAAATTCAAGTGTTTAGTGAGAACCTCCAGGTATATGCTCTTCAGTGTTCCACGGGAGAGAACCCCGAGTGCACCCTAAATCCACCTGCTCAGGAGTAGTGCCCGGCTCCTAAGAAACTAGACATTATATTTGCTTGCTCTCCAGAATTTTGTAGTCCAATGATTTACTGCTCTATAGACAAGGAAACTGAGGCTCACGGGAATGAGGGACCAGGAAAGACCTTGCTACCTACCACTTTTACCTATTCACAAAGTCACCTCCCCATATCTGTTCCATTCCCTTCTCTCCAATTCTATGCCCAAACACTATTATGGCCACATCATCTTCTGTCTGGGTTACAGCAAAATCCCTCTATTGTTCCCCAGTGTCCAGCCAGGCTCCTTCCCACATCCTCCCCAAACTGCAGTCCTCTGTAAAAGCTAGGTATTTAATGGCACCACTTTTCTGGTCAAAGTCCCCAGAAGTTTTGTTCACCTGTGTGTCTCTGAAACCTGGCACGGAATGAACAATCTCCAAACATTTAGCTACATGAATGCATGAATTTCTTGACACACCCTAATCCAAGAGACATCCAGAAGTCTGTGACAGAGGTGAACTGGGGACATCTAGACTCCAAAGTTGGGTGCCGCCTCTGAGTGAAGAGATGGAAGAGTTATTCTAACTGAGAAAACATGGCCGGATAAGTAATTTGGGCTTCCTTCTGAGAAATTATATGTCTTATGGGGACTGTTCTACAGGGTTCCTGGGAAGGAAACACAACCACGAAATGTAACATGGTGCTTCCCCAGCTGTGTGGGCAAAGGTGTGCTGAGTGGTTCCATGGAATAAGAGACGCCTGCACCAGCCAGTTCCACAGCCACTGCCATCAAGTCAAGGATCCCCGTTTTCCACTCAGTGAGTGTTAAACAAGTTCAAGATGGAAATCGCTTCTGGGTCTCCTGTATCCCTGTAGTTTGTATCTATAGCTCAATGTTGCTCTCGCTGGTAGTAGGTTTTAATTTGTGCATGTTTACCTTTCTTTTTCCTGGAATATACTTGACATTTGTTATCGTTTTTGCACCAGGTTTAAGACTTTCTAGTTTAGACTAAAAGGGGAATTGTAGTGGCATCTTTCCTGTGAACCTGTAATGGTGGTCACACCCCTTTGGGCGTGGCTTCAGGCATACCGAAGTGTAAAGAGGAAAGTGTGAGGTCAATCTCTTGCCATCTCTCTCGCTCGGGTCTCGGATCGGATCCGAAGGGCAGAGAAATGCTGTGGTGGTTCTTTATTATTATCTGTGTAAGTGTTTATTATTTATTTTGGGTCTAGTAAATTCATTATCACCCACCTTCATACATAATGCATGTATTCTTTCAGAGTATAGTACCTTCCTCAATCCCATGGCACCTTCCTTGGCTGCCAGGCTGGGAGCCCAAAATAGGTCATGGGTTCTCAGACAGGACGGTTTTCCCTCCAGAACACTGGGACGAGAAGACTCCTGTTTTAGTCCTTTTTCTGTTGCTCTAAAGAAAAAAGAAAACAAAACGGGGTGAGGGGGAATGTCCTGGTGTGTGCCTTTAATCCCAGCACTCAGGAGGCAGGGGAAGGAGAATCTCTGTGAGTTTGAGGCCAGCCTGGTCTACAACAAAGCTCAGCCAGGACTACATAGAGAGACCTTGTCTAAAAACAAAACAAAACCTCCAACTAAATTAAAAATTTTTCTTCCCCTTTGAGAAAAAGAAAAAAATAAAACAAAACAAAACTGGAGAGTGGACAGTTTATAACTGGAAGTTGATTTGCCTAGTGGTTCTGGAGGCTGTGTGTCTAAGACAGCAGTGTGAGCCTGTCTCAGCATCCGGAGAGCATTGCTGCACCCTAACACTGATGAAAACCTTCCAAGGTGAGACAGAGCTGCTGTCCAGCTTCCATCTCTTCCCTGTCCAATAGAGCTGCTGAGGTTGTCATGAGGGCCACATACCCCATGACCACTGATTCACAGATCTCATCTCCTTGTGCATGGCTGCTGGGTCAGCTATGGGGCCCCTGTTCAAGCCAGCACAGTCAGAGGCAATGTGACTCTATTCCAAGT